TAGGATGAAAAATTGTCCCGCTGCACTACTCCAGGCATTTTTTTGTCCCCGGCAATTTTCTTCCTCGATTTTCAGTTGCAGTGATGTTTTATGAATCAGTAGCGGCAGCAACCTGTTTCATCTGCGCCTTAACAATAACTCTACAGCTAGCTCTTTTGCCGTTATTACTGCGACACATCGGTGAACTAAAACGTGACGCAGAAGAGCATTTGAAGCAATTCCAGGTAGCTTGCTTTTTGTTGAAAAACTCATAAATGCAATGAATACCAGAAGAAACTTGACGGAACTCAGCTGAAAATAAATTTCCTCTTTTTATTGGACTTCATCATACTCTCTTGTTGTTTTGGTTCTGCAAAATTATAAGTTGAGAGAAAAAAAAAGCACATAATTAGTATAAAAAGAAGGATCTGTTTTGAAGTCTGCTGGAAAATATTTGTGTTTGTGAACTCTTCGCTGGTAAGCATGGCGCAAGCGGGAGGTTGCATTTGTCTTGTCCAGAAAGTCTGCAATTCGACTTCGCTAGTAAAACAACCAGTCCCTCTTCAATTCGTCCATTTGCTTTGTTCATAAATTAGTACTGGAGCATATCGAACAATCAGAACTGCCATAAGCTTGTTTCTAAACAACTCTCGACAGGACGAGTCACCGGTGATCAGTTGGTGTTCACATTTGCTATCGCTCGGATGCCTCCGTCTTTATTAGATGGTGAATATCAATAAGTCTTAGTTTTTGCGAAAATTGCTCCTGTCAAGCGCCGTGAATTTTGTCCTGTTCTCCCATTTCTATCAAAGTTTCGTCTGAAACCAAAAATTCTTGATGACCCAAAAGTTTGATGTCCACTTCCCACTATTCCTTTGTGATTGGGTCTTTGAAAGGCAGCGAAACTTTTTTGTTTTACAGTAATCCGAGTTATGTAACTGCAAATTTCAGCTGTACGCTGATAAAGGAAATTTGCATCTGGCCGAAAGCAAACGCGTAATTCAAAGAAAAAGGTCGACGACGTTCTGTCCTCCACCACAGCCCGGGCCACCTGGACAACCAGGTACCTGCGGTTTCGGAATTTGTTTGCACCAAAAATAGGAAATTTTGAGGCGAAATTCTGACGGTGCGCTTTTAAATACTAAGTATACACATTCGATAATGTAAAAACTCGAAGGATTTTTCTAAGCTTCGTACTGGCATTTTTGACATCTCTTTTGATATCTATACAATGACGAGTTTTCTACGTGAAATGCATGGGCCTGCATTTTCGTAAAAAACAAGATTTTTCTGAATTACCAATATTAAAAACGACATGCCATTTTTTAGGAGAGCCAGGTGAAGATGGTGAACAAGGTGACGATGGACCCATCGGACTTCCAGGGAAAAGTGCGCATGAGCTGCTGGCTGAAATGAACCAACAATGCGTCATTTGCCCGCCAGGAGAGCGTGGACCTCCCGGAGCACCAGGTGATCAAGGACCAGAAGGGCCGCAGGGTGAAAAAGGAATTCCAGGAGCTCGCGGATCCGATGGCCTAGACGGTATTTTTTAATTACTAATGCAGTCGTACTTGCAGAATAATTGCGCCGATAATTTCTGTTTTTAATACGAAGTTGTTTCAAAAAAGCTTAGTAATAGTCTAACGAGCCACACAACGTGGAACCAGCAAGAAGCAGTACATTTTCACTGAAGTAATGCGGTCTGGTCTGATGTGAGCGATATTATCAAGGCAGTGCACGCCAGGAATAACAGTTAGATTCGCTGTATAACAAGAATGCGACAGAACGGAAAGACAAAGCGGACTATTGATTGGTACCCACGTAATGTCAAGAGAAAGCAAAGAAGATGGCCAGTGCGGCGGAAAGGTGCGCTTGAACAGCTATATAGTATTATGCGAATAACACGCAAAAATCGGAAAGAATGGAAAAGTTGCCAGATTTAGCAGTGACGGGAGGGATGTAACTATGAGGTAAAGGCTAATTAAAATATTAAAATTAGTATGTGAAATTCTTCAGGAGAAGTAGGTCCGGAAGGTCCAGAAGGATACAATGGAACTGCTGGCTTGCGAGGTGCTAAAGGATCGGATGGGAAACCTGCTACCGGTGGTACTGGGGAACCCGGACCAAAAGGATTGCCTGGACCTATCGGAAGAACCGGAGCGCAGGGTTTTCGAGGTAATACATAGACCAGCTAACACTTATTAATTTGCTTTTCATTTCTTATCAGTGTAATATTCATTTAGCTGCGAATACTCAAGTATTCAAATAATCAATTTCACCAAAATTATTTCTAAGAATTTCATCAAAATCGTTTTTAAGAAGCTGAAATGTAGCCACGTGCCGTATGCAATTGTGCCAGACTTTTCATTCGAAGACATTTGCATCAGCTGTTTCTGTCCTCTTCCTGTATCCCTTCCTTTGGCCTATATATATATTTTTTTTTTCTTTTTTAAAGAACAGGGAAAGTGGTAGGAAACAAGGGAGAATGGCAGCTAAAGAAACCGTACCACCCCCTTCATCCCGGACATTCCATCTCTCCAAAACCAGTCCATCTAAATGCATTTATATTTCATATTTAGAATGCTTTAGGCTAATAATTTACTTGTTATCAAGTAGCAAACATTTGAAATGCCTTGACCATCAGATAGTTCATAGCCTAGGTTTTCCAATTATACAGCTGACAATTTTCCCAGTTACTCTGATCAATATTGCACTTCAAGGCAAGATACACCTTTCTTCTCTTTTTCTTTGTGGCGGCTTCTTGGCCGATTTTTTGCAAGTCTTCCGTGACACTAATGCTATAGCAAATTATATATAAGAAACTAAAAAATGAGAAATACAAGACCACTGGACAGTTAGTGAGCTAACTAACTGAGAAGACTGTTTGAATTCTTAGTCCACTTAGTCTACTCATTTCCAATGGCTTTGTCCCTTATCTCTTATTGTAATGTTTCACCTCATTTAGCGAGTCTTGCGGAATTCATATTTGCATCAGATCTAAAATACATGAATCGAACTGTATATGAACTACTGATCATTCATGATTCTTATTTTAAATTTCCAAATTTGTTCAAAATCAAGCATTAATAATATCTTAATTCTCAGGTAAACGTAATTACGTATATGGAGCATCCGGACCAGTTGGTAAGAAAGGCGTCAAAGGAATGGACGGTCTTCCCGGAAACATTGGACCAAAAGGTAGTCGTGGACTAGTGGGTGAACCAGGTGCTAATGCATTTTTCTGTCCATGTCCAATGGAAATGCAAATACTGAACACAGAATTCAAGGTATGCTAAAATATGACAAAAATGAGACAAAATGAAAGGACAGAGCGAAGTACCATATCAGTGTATGTGTGTGTATGTGTGTATGTGAATGCCTGCGCGTGTATATATGGGTGTGGGTGAGTGTGTTCTGCGTGTATTTTAAATTTTTAAACAAAAAGTTTGTTTGGATGTGCATATCTCTGAAAATTTTATAAAAAACACTTTGAAAATTTTCAGGGTCCAAGAAATATCAAGGAGTTGCACACTGTTCATGATCTGCTGACGGATGAAGTTGTTACGACTCCCATTCTGGATGGCTCTGGACCAATCGCGGACGGCAATGGTGCTAGACGGAAAAGTAAAAAAAATCGCTAAAATTCTCTAAATGAAATATTCATTACAAGCAGATGTCGCTGCTTATAAATTTTTTGAGAAAAAGCCGCAGTTTGTGTTGTCAAATAAATAACGACACGCACAAGATAGCGTTTTGCGCAGTTCTGCCGACCGGAGCTAGAAACATGCCAGTAATTCCCGCATGGGATTGCCATCACATATCCGTACGCGCGAAACAGGCATACATAGAGGCTAAATTAAAATTTCCAGTGTCACGCATGAACATAAAATGTCCTCCTAAAATTTTAGCTTTCTGTCTTGTCTGGTGTTTGAACCATACACACACACACACACACACACACACACATGCACACACGCACGCTTACATATACATACACACACATATACACATCCACAGAATCTTGACAGTACGCGTTTTTTGCAATGCCAAAATAACTTTGTTGCTTAGTTGAAAAAAGAATAGCCGGAAGCGTGCTACACGAAAAGCGTGGGGTCGCACCTGTGTAACGTCGAAAAATTTAGAACAGTAAACCAGAGAGTGGCAGTATCACCTCCTACAGTATTTTCCTAGAAATTATAATGTTTGATCTGAATTGCAGATCTGGATTTTACAAATAAAGAAATCCAA